GTCATTAAAGGATCCATAAAGGATCCATCTCCAATACACTCTCATTAGTGCGCCTCTGTGTTTGAGTTGTATATATATATATATATATATATATATACAGTGTACAAATTTAAGATTTAAAATTAAATAATATACTTATATACATTATTAAGATKACGTAATTAAATAAAGCTAATGGTATATAATGCATATTTATATTTACATGGGTTATAAAAGTTGGTAAAAAAAAATAGGTCTTGAAGAAAATGTACCATCAACAACTATCGTATTGAACGAGCTTAAAGCTTTCAAATTACTATCTGCATGTAGAAAAATACATATATTTTCACTAAATCTGACTGTATTAAAAATAACTCGCCTTGAACAGTTTTTTTTCATGATTATACTTAATTTTTTATCACTTCATCAAGTAGTTTTGTTTGAAGTAAAGGTAAATATTTTCTATATTTTCGATGTATACACTGTTTAATATTGTCAACATAATCATTTTCAATGATAATTTCAATTTTAGGATTTTTCGGTATTTCACAATTTATAATTTTCGAAAGACTCTCTGTGAAATCATTAAGTTGTCTTTAGAGTTGATTTGAAAATAGTTTTTTTTTTTTATACAATTATAGTGTGTTTTTCATGGTTTTTAATATCATTTTTTAAAATTTCCTTTAAAGATTCGTTTATGTGTATTTTTGTGTCATACTTTTATCAACAGTCAACACATAACCGCTTTTAATACATTCGTACAAATACTTCACAAAGTTTGTTTTAAACAAGTATGCTATTTGTCGTTCACCAGCTATAATTTCGAAATTCATTATTTTGAAGCATATAATGACTCGAGGATAATTCAAGATTTAAAAGATTAGTGTATAAGGCAGCAAACTACGCGTCTACACGTTAGATTATCATAAATTAGCCATAACAAGTCAATGTTTCAGATCTCTATAACTTTTGTTCAGGAAGATTATTTTTCACTGGCGGAATCGATAGGTTGTTTTTAGAATTTAGACTACCTGTGCTGGTGGAGTCGATACTGGCGGAATCGATAAACCTTATCCTTAAAAAGGTCTGACGCGGAATCGTATTGAGACCCCTTACACTACTTAAACTTTCCAGTTTCCTGTGTGCTTTTTCAAATTGTATTTACTACAAGCGCATACAATGCTTTGAATTATAAGTGGTACAAATAAACTATGGATGAAAATTTGGTTTATGAAGTAGRTACACGACTTATATAAAATTCAATATTCTACAGACAGCTTTATCAAAGTTGCTTTTGATAATCGGCTAAAAATTAAACCCCGATAGCATCTGTTTATAATCCACACTACTACACATAAACCTAAGAATTGGTCGTGTAATTACATCTTACAATATTCGATTAAATATAAGATGTCTGCAAGTTATTCGCTGTTAGTATTCAATTGAAAACAATTTTGATCGTATTTATTGTTATATAACTATTGTCTATTTACGTGGAGTCAGAACGTACCATTGTATGAAATTGAATTATTAAAATACATTTTATAAATTAATCATCGCTTAAACGTATTTTTTTTAAACTAAAACCCTATCTGCTATTATGTAACAATATCAAATATTTAATTGAATGATATATTATACTTAGGTATAATTAGTTAGGTCAGCTAATAAATTTTTAAATACTGTTTATGATAATGATAGAAATATGTCTATAATATTATATTGATAAAGAATCCAGCAGTGTGTTTATAAGTACATGTCGTGCATTTGTGTGAGTCAAATTGTTTCAAAGTTTCAATCTATAATTTCGTAATATATTATGTATAAAAATGGTACGCAAATATATTATCGTCAAAAAAAATAAAAATAAATTCGCCAAAAGCCAACAGCCAACAGCTACATTGTAATTAYGGTGCCAGTTGTATGGACGCACTCAGAAATATTAGTACTATTCAATACATTGTATTAAATGCAGTGCAGCTTAAGCCTAGATCGCTTCACCGAAGACTGTTCAAGTCACTTGAGTTACCGGCCAAATGGGCCCTATATTCTGGTGCGCAACTTGACAACTAAGCTCTTTAGAATTTTGATTTAGATCCGTCAACGTTTTCATAACAATTATACACTTGAAAATTAATATAAAATAAGGGGGATYTTCATTTGATAAACAAAAGTTTGTAAACTACTCTTTAAGTAGTACAAAGAATTTCAATAATTTGAAAATATGGTCTTCGTGTTTATTTAAAAATTCAAAAATTCAGAATTTGATTAAATTCATAGTTAAATAGCTGTATACAATAGACCCATATTGTTTTAAGTAGCATTTTGTATATAAGGAGCTTTTTGTTCAAATGAATAATATATGTTTAAAAAAAATAAATATCTAAAAATAATACAAATAATGATGATTAATTTTAATTTATAATAAAATTGTATAAAATAATGAATAGAAAATTTKATTTAAAAAAAGAATATTTGCTTTTTTTAGTAATATTAGTATTATTTATATACCTTATACTAGTTATACTTTATTTTCTTGTTATACGAGTACATCCTCCATACATCTTACATTGTCTTGAGACGTACATTGTTTGTTATTGTGTAAATATTTAAAATTTTAATAACAAATATGGAATACTAGAAATTAAAACAATGTAAAATATGCTTTCCAATTTTTATAAATAATTTGAATGTCGTATAATGTGATTTATACCAAAATTATTCATTTTAAACTTCAATTAACCTCGATTGTGTAAACTATATTGTTGCTTTTATTATTATTATTTTTTAATGAAACACATTAATAATTATATAAATATAATAATGTTAATTTCAGGTAGAAAATTCAATCGCAACATACGAACCACATGCTTGCATTGTGGTTTACTCAGTAGTGTCTAAAGCATCGTTCAAAGTAGCCAAAGAAATTTTAAACTATCTGTGGCAAGAGAACTATACTCGTGAAAAGACGGTCATTGTAGTCGGCAACAARGCGGACTTGATGAGAGCAAGATGTATTACTACTGAAGGTAAAAAATATTTGAATAGTTTAAACCCCAACRCTATATATATTTACAAAAGCATACGAAATGGTTTACTATTTCATACRTCTAATTTTAAGGCGTTATGCTTACAAGACGTGTCATATTATATTTACATAAACATCATGTATTTCACAGGTTTGATATAAATAAAGCCACTAAAATAGGTAGATATGAGGTGTAATCCGTCCAAATTAGATTTATAAGTTCACTAAGGGTATCGGAAATGAGCAAATGAGCATTGGATTTGTATGTAAAATTAAATTCAATACGACGTAACAGATAAAATTATTTTATTTTTAAATTGCTGCTCATATTAGATAATACCGAAAGCTCATCTTTTTCGGCATAAATATTAACTAAATACATTTATTATTAATTTAACAGTCAATGGGAGTATACTAATGGGCATTGGCACTATATCCGTAGTGCTAATAAATTCACGATTTCTCCAAAAGTCGGTAACTTTCCGGTTACTATCAATCGTTTTCCCCGTATTTAATATTATACATATATAAATAAAGGAACAGGAATTGTTTTAATCTCGTAAATAATTTATGACTGAGCTAAGTGTTTTTATAATGATTTATGTATATCTTAATGTTGCATATCAACGATAATGACCATCGAGCTCCGAATGGTAGACTTATTTAAATGCCTATATTTAGTCTAGATTCTCTGATTGAGAATTTCTTTGTCCTTTGATTCGAAATTATTTCAAAAAAAATTATTGTTGGATAATTTTGTTTTTATTTTAGAGGGAAAACAATTGGCATGCTCGCGGGAATGTAAATTCATTGAAACTTCGAGTGGTATTCAACACAACGTGGACGAGCTGTTGGTCGGTGTGCTGAAACAAATTCGTCTGCGCGAGACTAGAGACAAAAAGAAACAAATCCAACGAAAAACGGCCATACACGGATCGAAAACTTCACTATCATTGCATATCGCAAAGGAAATATTACAAAAAATGTGCTTACTCGATTCCAAGTCGAAGTCTTGCGGAAACCTTCACGTACTCTAAGTCGAATAATATAACTATAAATTTAACGAATCGATGTATTCTGTACTACTATTTTTAATTACTAATGCTCGTATACTACACTATATGGTATATGCACATTATATATATTTATATTATATAATTACTTGTATTAAAAAACGCGCCTGAAACAATCCTTTATACCTATACTTTGTACTTACTTCTTTACAGGGACGAGTGGGTGAGACACTACACCGCGGTTCATTAACCATGTGATATTTGTAAGAGATACCTATCGCGATTGATGATTTAAACCGACTTTATACAGGGCGTCGGTCTATTTTTKAGTGACTGGCAAAAGGCTTTTGCTGTAAAACTATTTATCACTATTCTTCGGTATATTCCTATACATTCGTATTTTTGTATTTTCGCGATCTTACTGGAACAAATACGCAAATGTTTCTATAATACGCTTCCAGGGCCATGTAATCATAATATATAAAGGTTGGATGAGGGACATTTCCCTCGCCCTTCTCCATTGACTGTTCTATTTTTTCCTGTGATATAATATTATAAACATTAAACATTTCAATCCTAGTTTTTATCGATCATTTGCCAGATAATAATAAAATAATATCATATCATCATACAAATATATGTATTATTATTGTTATATCATTTAAATTATTCAATAATACTATTGCATTTAATATCAATTGTCAAAATAATACACAAATCACAGTTGATAAAATTAAATAAATTATTCTTCCTGAAACCAATACCTACAGTATAGGTCAAATATTACTTTATAAATATTTTATTATATTATTGTGGTCTTCAGATAGGTACATATTATACGTATATATTGTAGAAAAAGAGAGTTTTGTCAAAACATATTTGCTCTTCTGTGATAAAGAAGTGGAATCTATCATTATAGTTTTAATTTTCATCGTATTTATACTAACTCGCTAATTATTTGTTTTACTTACAGATGTCATAATCTATTATTTATTTTTAATAAGAGCCTATGTATAATTTTGTTATTTAAATAATTAAGACATTTATAAAAAAAAAAATCATTTTATCTATATACGTATTATTTTATTGTGGTTTCAATAATGTTCTACTTATATAATTTAAATGTATTCTTATTGAATGATATTATTTTGCATACCTATGTATATTTTTATTTTTAAAATTTTTCAGTTTAATACAAATTACTATTATTTACATTTTACACATTCTATTGAAACATAATAATTATGTTTTCTATAATGAATAAAAACTAAAATTCTAAAAACCATAAGACAACCTAATTATGTCATTATATGTTATTCTATTTTAATTATATTTTAAATTAAAAATAAAGATATCTTCATAAATCATAATATTGTATGGTTGAATGAGAAATATATTGTTTTTTTTTTTTGTGCATTAAAAATGAAATAAAACTGAATGAAATTTACCTATAGAGAATATTTTACTTTTTAAAGCCAAAGACTCTTCAAATATTATAAGTTTTCGATAAAAAAAGTTTCTATTTAATTTTTTGCGTGTTGTTAAACTACATTATAGGTATTCGTATATATATGGTGTTTTTCCATTATCAAGATAAGCCAAAAAGTTTTATACAATGTATATTATCATAACTATAAAACAAGATTAAGAGTTATGTTGGTATAATATGTTTACTCATTATTAATTATTTATTTTGCGAAAAGTCAAGAGTAGGTCGAACTTTCAATTTCACCACTGTATCAAATAAAATTATCTCAAGTTGAATAATTCGATACACGCAGCTKTAAAAAATTGTCTAAATTAATAAAATATGTAAACAAAATGAAATATTCGTTTGAAAAAAAAAACTCTTAATTACAAATGGTAATTTCACACTTTTCAATATAGCTTTCTGTTACAAATAATGTATTTAACCGTAAAATATAAAATGTACTTCGATATTATTCATGGCGTATTTATTTTTGTCGCTATAACCGTTTATTTAAGTCTCGATTTCGATAAATTCTGAAGATGGCATGTCGTTATTAAAAATTGTTTTGGGAGGGTGTTGGACAATTATAAGAAAATGTATCGACTATGGATAGTGACGATAGTGTTATATGTAGGGCCATATATCAACCAAATATTGCTCCCGAAGCGAAACCTCAAAATAAATTCATTATATTTAAGCACATATAAAAGCCAGTTACCTCCCAAAGAATTTTTTTTAAATTTATAAAAATTTAAGTTGACTACCACACTGACTTTGTTTGGTAACTGAACACATCTACTTTATAATATCAAATGTTCAAGATTTTTAAACCAGCAAAAAAACTCTAAAAGGTCAAATATTTATATAAATAGTTTCATTAGCAAATAAATTTAAATAAAAAATACCCACTACTAATTTTAGGTATAAGATTTATGTGTAATTTATTTACAATAATGAATTAAGGTTATTTAATATATTCATGGAATTTTATATACCTACTTCATATTTTTTTTACTACAATTTCACAAATAAAAATTGTTTATTTTGAATGAATATAGTTATCACAAAAAATAAAAATTATTCTTAGATACTTTCTAACTGACTTATGGACAAATGCTCACAATGCTGTCTACCGTAGTCTTGCTTGATAAATTAATATCGATCACTCGCCCCCTCCCCTTTACCATTCTAACAATTAAAACTCCAAATAAAAGTAACTCTATATCGTATTATAAAATATATGATTATATTTTATAATTAATAAGTAATAACTAATAAGGATGTAACAGTGATTATTAAATTATGTTTCAAATAAAGATCCATATAATACTATGTTATCATCTTATTATTGTACTCTGTACGAGTTCGATTCGATCTAATTTCAAACTTAATTAACTTTGAAATGTGACACGTATTATTATAAAATATCCATGTTGTCATTCCTCTCTCTCTTTCTTGTAAATAACTTCCATGGTTGAACTTTAAGATTATACTAATTCGATCCGTTCGGTTTCTTATTTGTATTACCTAATGCCTGTAAAGTGTATACTGCACAGTAGTATAATACCAAACATGTAATTGCGATAAAGATATTTACAACTATGGGACAAGACGACTAAACCGTGTAAGTATTCCACGCCAGAATCGTCAAGTACGAACGTATTTTGTATATGATATGATGGTATCGAAACGTTTGATATCGACAAGTCTCTGCTACGGTTTCACCGGCAGCTAAAAATCAATCATTCCCCTGAAATAATATCGAGACACCTCGAGGCTCAAGTGTCACCGTGGAAAGGGAGACTTTAGATTTTACGAGATATAATACATACAGGGTGATTTTTTTTATCACATACTAAATAGTTTTTTCATAATTTTCCAGGAGTGTATTTTTGAATTTTTTTACAAAATTAGAGGCAAACACAACATTTCTTACTATTTCTTAAATATCTTACTTTTTTAAATGAACATTATTTATTTTATTGGTTCGTGTACTAAGCAAATATAAACTTTAAACAGTATATTTTATATGAATTAAAATTTTTAAATTGATTTAACATTAAGTTTTGTCATCGAAGTTCTCACAAAAATATTCTGCCTCAAAACATATTGTATTTTAAAAGAGCAAAGACTAGAAATTATTACAATTTAAAAAAAAAAAGTATAAATATAAACATTTATGTTTTCAATAATCTTCTATTAAATATGAAAAAAAATAATGCATTTAATGTACCAAGAAAATAAATGCAACATAGTAGTCACTGTGACAAACAAAACATATCGTATCGTAGGCCGTATATTATAGCTGTAGTGCGTCTGCCATGCATATAATAATATACGTTTCCATGTGCGCGTTTCGGCTGTAATAACTTCTTGTCAACATACGACAATGGAAAAAACAAAACAAAAATAAACAAAAAACAAGACGACGCGATTCAGGAGGGTTTTCGGCTGGAATCCAGCATGATGGGGATCTCGGATACATAATATTATATTATTATCATACACACAGCCATATAGCTACACTATAATATATTATTATTGGTTTGAACGTTAAAGAATAATTTATAACGAGCCCTGGCACGCTGCAGAGATGATGCACTTTAGTTTTGTTTTTTCTTTCCTCGTGTTCCCGGCCGTTCTCTATTCTCTCTATATTATATTCACGCGGGATATAATTTATAACAATATATCCCATTAAAATAATAATAACGCAATGCGCGATGACGATACATATATACTGCCTCGGCGGCGGCCGGCGCATTGTCTACAGTGTTATTATCATTATTATTATCATAACATTATATTTATGCGGTATTTTTTTTTTATTTATTTAACAAATACGCCTCAACTACTACTGGGGTTATTGGCGTTTGTTTTAATTTTTATTATTTTACTACATTTTTTAGCTCACTAAAAACGTAGAGACTAAAATAAAATAACTAAAAAAATTCATCCTATGTGAATTTATCCTATTAAAAATTATTAAATCCGTTCAAAGCCTAACGGACTTATTTTTCTTGGAAAACAACTCAACGTATTTCATTATGTTCTTAGAAAGTTAAAATCTAATAGAATTTTCACGGTAACTATGCCTRTGCATATTATTACAAAAAATATATTATACTCAAAACTTATAATAGCTTACGTCACACATGCGTAAAATATGTAGAAGGTATTTCAAGAGAACATTTTAATGGATTTGTAATATTAATTAGAGTTACTGATTAACATCAATAAGATATTACATCATAAAATTACTTGAAAATAGTAATAAATGTATACTTAGCTTCGCTGGAAAATCATTTATATGTACCTAATATCTATCTACTATATATGTTCGTTTGAAATTACAAAAAAAAATCAGAGTTTTATGTAACATTTCAATTATAATATTACATAGGTACCTACTGTAAAAGGGAAAACGTTGAATACCTGCCTATATATAATACATAATTTAATGAGTTTTCCATTTAACAGTTCCCTGTGTGATGTACTGATGTATTATATATTTTTATATACTTTATAGTAGTTGTTCAGGCTCGCTATTATAACCCGTATTAATCATTCCAATGAGCTCATATACAATACATTATATAATGTAACATAATGTGTTATGAAACAAAATGTTGACGATTACAAAGAAATTAATAACGTCGATATTTTGTTGTAGCGAAGTGTCTAATTTCTTTATATAATATTCGACTATTATTTAGGTTTACGTTCTATTACTGCACATCACAATCACACACATCGGACCGGACATCAGAGCTACAAAATGTAAGGCTCATTGCAAGTAAATATTAAATTGTAATAAATAATAATATATGTTGTGTATTTAATGTTGTGTTTCGAGAACATTTATAATAGGTACCWATCCAACAATCTATATCATACAAAAATCAATATTAATTTAAATTAAGTTTACGTAACTTCTTCGCAATTAAGAAGAAATTAGATGCTTTTGAACGTCGCATAACTAGGTTTTGACAACACTACGTTTTTCAGACTAGAATAGTTATTTAATATAACATCGCATATAATGTTACTTGTATCATATTATACTATATATACCTGTCTACGACTAATACGGTAGCTTAGAACTGTCCCACATTCGATCGATCCCGATTAATATACGTATATTATAAATTATAATAATATCA